AAAGAGTTTATTGATTCTCGATCCCATGTTTTTTTTTAATAAAGGGATCAATGAACTACCTATGAGATGGCAAAAGTGCATAGATAACAATGGCATACTTGATTAATTAAATATATTTTACAAAAAAAAAATGACTTTATTTTTATTCCTCCCGTACAAAACGCCAATTTCATATGTGAGGACCTAATAATTAAGTTTTCAAACTTAGTTAAACTTAATGATTAGGAATTAAACATTTACTGACATTTGTCCTTTTCATTTTCAATAAAGTCTATCCACGTTTCGGCCTGCTGCCACTACTGTACATCATCTAGTAGGGTGGCTAATACGAGACTACTGGTGCACCAGGCAGAATTCTGGCAATAGCTACCAGATTCCATTACAATACCATAGACACCATTGTGAAAACTGATGTATCAGTGGAGTCAGGGGAAAGCTGGGGGGTACCTACATTAACTTTTGGGTCCCTGGCTGTGGCAAAACAACGTGGATTGCAAACAACTTCGGCTTTAAAAAAGATTTGGTATTCATTACAATAACTGTAGCAGCAAAAGACCTAAAGGAAAGACTAGCCTGCCGCATGGGCGCTACGGTCAACACTAAAGTGCGCACAATAGCATCAATACCGATGCACGGCACAACTACTGAAGAATAACGATAAGTCTTCGTCGAAGAAGCGCTGATCAACGAATTTGGAGTTTATGTTATTATACACCATGCATCTCACCAATCGGTGAATACTGCCGGTTTTCACACTTGTCGTCATAATGAAGTCAATCTTGTTTTTAACAGAACTATTGGGGCTAATCCAGGTCTTCTTTCTGTGGAGCTGATTATTGAAGAATGTTTTCATCATGAAGAGTCCCTCCTTCTCCATAAAGTTAGGCCACTGCTGCCTCTTGGGTTCCTTTGGCCTATTGCAATTTTACCCACTCTTAGCTCATCGTCTTTTCTTCTGCTTAGTTTTGCATTAAAGTCTCCAAAACTCAGTACATGGTATTATATTAATGGTAGATCATGTATGGCTGGTGATATAACTTAGATATAATTATATGATTTAGATTATCCATTAGGATAACATGGAGACAATTTATAAATCTAAAAAAAGCAATGGCGACATCTCTCGTTCGAATTATCGTTGTAAAACAATATTCGAAATTGTTTGTATGCTGGAAAGGATATAACAATGGATGTGCCAAGCATTGCTTCAAATGCTATAAAAACAATGTAGATAAAAGACGTTAAGATTTTCGTCGGTGTGGCAATCAGCCGGCAATTTAGCTTAGTGGCTAAAGCGTCAGGCCGCGAATGCCGAAGAAGTGGGTTCGTATCCTACAGCGGCAACATTATTTTCGTACTTTTTCTACAAATTTTAATGGAGACAATGTATTAACATGGTCTCCATCTCATAATCAGGGTATGTCGACGTTGGTGCGTATACCTACCTATATGACCCTTAGCTGAAGTAACGCAAGTATCGATGAAACACCCGCGATTTTAACGTTTTAATGAGAGATACCATGAGGTAGCCAGGTATAGCAAGGCCGCCGCGGATCGGGGGCCATATATCTTGAACTTCCATCAATACCGTAGTTCCTCTAGATGTCTCGCATCTCGAACGCTGCTGGTTGTTATTTTCTTAATTATTTAGGATCTGGAAAGTCGAGACGGTTATCCCGTTATCTATCAGAGATCACCAGATGTTTGTGGCTATCCCTTAGTCGCCTCTTACGACACCCACGGGGTGAGAGTGGCTTTTATGACATTTCAAAATGTATTTTAAACATAACTCATCGGTAAAGATTTGCCTAATTGATAACTGGAGAAAATCGGGGGAACAAAAGTCGACTTCAATTTAAAAACAATATAGTTTCCGGTCACCGGGCTCAGCCGGGGTGTAATTTAATTAACGGCTTGCCTTCAGAAAATGCCAGTCACTGCAGATAATAAGCATCCGAGCATTGGATGTGACAGTCTAATGTAACATGTTCGTAAGTAAATTTTAATTATACATTCATCACGAAAAATAATATATCAATACAGTTAAAATGAATTTTTCTCGCACAATAAAAGGTGTCTAACGTAATGCAGAAGACATTTAGGCGTTTATTTTTTTAACACTGTCACAGAGTAGTTGTATCACTACACAGTATAAAACAAAGTCATCCCGCTGTCTGTCTGTCCCTACGTATGCTTAGATCTTTAAACTACGCAACGGATCTTGATGCGGTTTCTTTTACTAGATAGAGTGATTCAAGAGGAAGGTTTATATGTTTAATACATTGCACCCGTGTGTAACCGGGGCGGGGCGCTAGTTGGTTAATAAAAAGAACTTCTGTGTTTTTTTCATAGTGGTGATGTGAATAGTTAAATATTTTTAGTGTTTCCAAAAAAATGGCCATGTTTCTCACTATTTTACAGATTATGTTCGCGTTATCGCGTATTGAACCTCTAGTATAGTTTAATTTAACCGTGTCTAGCTTTTCGTGAGTACGTGAATTCATTTTATTCTTCAATGAAGTGGGTATTAAATTTAAAAAAAAAAAAAAAAAACAACTGTAACTGCGGTTAAGCAACGAGTAAACCTAACACACTAACCTAACAGCACTCTAGATAACACCTAACTACGTTGAGTATTATAATTGCCAACCACGCCCATTCTCTGTTATGAACGATAACAGGAATATTTTTCCTTATTCATCATATGGTATAAGCACGACGCGGGGAATAAAATTGAATGTTAAAGTGAATATCACGATGCAATAAAATTCTTTAATACAAACATTGATTCATTTTTCATATCAAAAATACTGTCTGTTATCTAATGCACAGTGGGACCGAGCTAACACGATACTGCTTTTGTGACTTAAATTAAATTGATCGATGCGCTATCAGTTACATGACGAATAACAAGCGCGGGGCGTTTTGATATTTGATATTCAATATTGTCTACAACAGTTAATTTTGGCTAGATAATTTTGGCAAATTTCGCAAATTTAATTATGCATCTACCTTTATTATGACAGCCTTTATTCCATTGGATACGATGCAAAATTGCTTCGAATAATAAAAATATATTACCAAATATAAAATGAGTCACATATTTATTACACATATTTATTTGGTTCCTGTAATATATGTATTGTTCTTGTCGGTAGAAGATTATAATGTTTTCGGCATGTACCCTCGTCTAATGAATCCGTCAATAAATGGCGGTTGTACTATTCAACGCGTTTTAATATCTGCTCCAGAATCCCTCAAATAGTGAAGGACATTACAGTTCCTTTTGGTTCTTAAACATTATAGAGACGGTATTGCAACTTTAGAAAAAAAAATCGAAAACTTTAGTTCAAATGCCTCTATCCGAAGTAGAAATCATTTGTTTTCGTTTACACTTTACACTTTAACAACATTTGCAATGAACACCATCTGAATAAACGTAAATCAGAGAACAATAAGCATATAATTCACCTTGAAATAAACGACTAATACTCCAAAAGCTTAATCTGTTTACTGCCCGCAATGATTTGTTACAGCGTGAACAGATGTTTATTTATGAAATGATACGTTTTCTACGGTCCTACAAAACGATAGATCATTTATTCGTGTTATGCGTAATATGCACATAAAATTTTAGCTGGTTAACTGCCATGACGTTCATTGTGTGAATAGTTTTGCGGACATCAAAATGCGTTGACGCATTTAAATATAAATATGTTACGAAGTGTGTTTTAATGTGACAGGAATTAAAAAACACGCATTTATCAATCATTAAAAATTATAAAATGCATTTAACCTATGCACTTCATACCCTTACCATAATTTTATCTTCATTGTGGAGAAATTATAAACATATTTTTTATGTAATACACGGTGGGTGATAGATTACCTTCGGCAATTATAAGTATGCAAGTTACTAATGGTTAATTCAAAAAGTGTGAAACGCTTTATTTAAACTAAATAAAAATACACTCAATCAAAGAGCAGTCTCAAAATTTTTGTATTAAAATGAATATTTACGCGGGGCGCTCAAAAATTTCCCGGAATTAATAAATAAAAATACTATTAAAGGTCAATTACGCACGTCTTCGGCATTCGCGGTCTGATGCTTTAGCCACTAAGCTAAACGGCTGATTGCTTTTTCCACAAATTTTAATTTTGCCTCCATTTGTCAGATAAACGAAATTTATCTATTAAAATAGTCCTTGAGTAGATTGTAGTGCACAAATATCAATTTTATGTGCTGAACATGTTAGGTGATGAAGAAAAATATCGTGTGCCGGTTTGATGCATGTTTTGGAAATAATAATTAAATACAATCGAGTGTTTGTCAACTCAATGGATGTTATATTGCATTTGGAACTAAAATACTGAGACCTTACCTTCTTATCTTATTATGTCGGAGATAGGTGGATCACATAGGATCACATAGGACAACTCGTTGTCAGATCCCTCATTGTAATTTACTTGTTCGATTAAAATCAACAATAACAAAAATAATTATTAACCACACTGATGTAATTGAATGGAAACGTAGCAAGTTGGATACAGGATGATGACCGCTCGCACCGCCGTCCCGCCGAGCACGTCCAGAACACACCACCGTGTCCAATGTCAATTGACTTCAACATCTCATAACCGTCAAGTCCGTTCTCTCACTTCCTGTATCGGCCTTACTCAAGCGCACTACTTGACGTTTCCGAGAACTACCAATAGATGGTGTTGTAATCAAATTATAGCATCACATCTTGTTCCTGCGACACGGCCATTCTGACAATTCACACGTCCTCGGGTGAAGCATCTCAAGCCAACATCGTCTTATGCTAAACCGTATGTAATGAACACTTTATCTGGTTACAATGGAAATAAATAACTGATAACTTTCAATCGGAAATCAATGAGTCTAGTATGCAATACTCCAGGCCTCAACCTGTTGTCTTCAAAAGAGACCGAATAAGCGAGACCTAAATCCGGTACCCAATGCAACACAAAATGCACTAATGTCTCTAAACGGCACGCAAGTGGGACTTAACCAGAACCCACTAAACACTGCCAAGCCTAAATCCGGCACGCAAGTGGGACTTAACCAGTACCCAGAAAACACTGCCATACCTAAATTCGGCACGCAAGCGGGACTTAACCAGTACCCACTAAACACTGCCAAGCCTAAATCTGGTACGCAAGTGGGACTTAACCAGTACCCACAAAACACTGCCATACCTAAATTCGGCACGCAAGCGGGACTTAACCAGTACCCACTAAACACTGCCAAGCCTAAATCCGGCAAGCAAGTGGGACTTAACCAGTACCCACAAAACACTGCCATACCTAAATTCGGCACGCAAGCGGGACTTAACCATTACCCACTAAACACCGCCAAGCCTAAATCCGGCATGCAAGTGGAACTTAACCAGTACCCACAAAACACTGCCAAGCCTAAATCCGGCAAGCAAGTGGGACTTAACCAGTACCCACAAAACACTGCCATACCTAAATTCGGCACGCAAGCGGGACTTAACCATTACCCACTAAACACCGCCAAGCCTAAATCCGGCATGCAAGTGGAACTTAACCAGTACCCACAAAACACTGCCATACCTAAATTCGGAACGCAAGCGGGACTTAACCAGTACCCACTAAACACTGCCAAGCCTTAATCCGGCACGCAAGTGGGACTTAACCAATACCCACAAAATAATGCCATGCCTAAATCCGGCACGCAAGTGGGACTTAACCAGCACCCACAAAACAGCATCATGCCTCCATCCGGCATCCTAACGATTAAATGGGTCACTTCTCACATGAAGGTCTAACCCCTATATCATCATTAAGTTCTCTCCAATTTCACTGGAAACTGATATTATCTCACCAAAGCTCGAATATAAATAGGCATGCGCGCCTATCGTAGTGGCCCGACGTCAAACGTTCTTGTAGAACCGTATGGTCACATCTCACGTTTGGCGTATGGTGATATCCATACTCATTTCTGGCTACGACACTGTCGTCCTGCATGAAAAGCGCCCTCGTGTGTTAATCTGGAACAATATTTTTCACACAGTATCACATAGCTCGGTCACTCCTGACCCAACTAGGAAGACATCAGTTTGTTGACATCTCATTTATCAAAATTCAACAAAACTCAAGGTTCGACAGAAGCCTGCATTTAATTTTAACGAAACTAGTAAACGAATAGTAATAAACTAACTATCAAAATTCAATTTTATTGGAATAATTAACATTTTTATATACAATCTTTTCAATATCAAAATTAAGTATCAGGACACTTCAAAGCCTAACTAACTCAACTTTGGCGATATTTCACAAGACACACAATTAAATCAGATAAACTAAAACATTTACGCTCTGCATATGATGTCTGGCTACGCATAGCCAAGGAACCTCAAACTCGGTCATAATAAAAACAAAATCTATTCTGTTTATTCACTAAAAGGGAATTCATTTATTCACTTTTATTCAATTATTCACTAAACCAAAGTTTATCTTAAAAACTGTTTTCAATCTATCTTTCACTATGGCTACGCAAAATTATTACAAAAACGAGTCCAGGTACCACTGAGTATAGATATTCAAAAAGAACAAAAATCATTCTAGGGTTCAGTCATGCCCCGTATTACTATTGCCGCTTAAGCTTCTGACGACGCGTAACTATAAAAGGAGTCGGTTCCTTTCGGGCATCGACCCAGTCAGATAATAGCTACCGATCGAGCCGAGGTCCGGCCCTCTCGGGCACCCTCGAATCGGAATGCTAAACGCGTGTTGAGTGACAGCCCAAGCCGAGGTCGACTCTCGGGGACCCTTGAGCCTGATCACTCTATGGAGCGCCCGCTAAGGCGCCCTAATTGCTTGGCGGCCTCCCAAACCGGTAATAATAATTGCGTGACGGCCCGAGCCGAGGCTCCCCCGGGAGCCCTCGAGCTTAGTCACCATAACGCGTAATAATAGTACGCCGAGGTTCAGGCTAGGCGCCTCGTGCGCCAGGCCACCTCAAGCCCGTCGGAACTGTAAAGGCCCCTAAGGCAAACAGTGGCTCATCCAGCCCAAAAAAAAAAAAAATTCGGGCATAGTCAGTCTATGTAAAGAACTTATCCGAATTGCAACTCATAACTTCGTCAAAATTTTCCTATGTCAGGTTTTCTAGGACACAAACTCCTTTTTAATGTTACTCCAACTGCAGTTATTTATTACCCATTCGGTAACCCATGTTTTTGTATCCACTTGTAAATAATTAACAAGACGATATTACAAAATGTTTTCGCTAATAATAATAAAAAATACCTGGAACGTACTTACCAAAACTATCGTTACACTTAATCGAAAGATTTATGACCATTTCCTTTTTTTATTTTACGACGGTAGGCACGCAAAGAAAAAAATAATTCACCGATTGTTTAAACAGCCAAAGCTTAGTCGACAAAGGTAGTCGAATCCCACTTCTGATGTCGGAGATTAGGTGGATCACATAGGACAACTCGTTGTCAGATCCCTCATTGTAATTTACTTGTTCGATTAAAATCATAACTGATGTAATTGAATGGAAACGTAGCAAGTTGGATACAGGAAGATGACCGCTCGCACCGCCGTCCCTTTTCTAAGTGGCGTGCCCGAGCACGTCCAGAACACACCCCCGTGTCCGATGTCAATTGACTTCCACAACTCATAACCGTCAAGTCCGCTCTCTCACTTCCTGTATCGACCTTACTCAAGCGCACTACTTGAAGTTTCCGAGAACTACCAATAGATGGTATTGTAATCAAATTCTAGCGCCACATCTTGATCCTGCGACATATATATAAAATAAATATTAAATGATTAACTTTTGCAATTAATAACAAGGATAATAAAGTAGATAATAAAACCTGTCCCAAAAACAATTATTCTTACATTAACATTACACAATCGAGATAAGTTTTCAAGGCAATCGCATATAAAACCAAACTTGACACATCAAAGTCACAACCTTCGCTATTGTTTTTATCGTTATACAATATTATTAAGAATATAAAGAAATACTTATTTAATATAATATAATTGAATATAGTTATTTACAGAATCTTGAGGCAGGCTTTCGGGACTTCTTGTGTTAAATATCTCGTTTGGCTTACTTTGTATAGTGGAGCCTTTCCCAAGACCTTTTATGCTTCCAAACTACATTTTTATATCACAAGTATTTTTTTTAGTAACGAAAAACAAAACCGACTTCAAATATCTCGCTCCGTATTCATTTCATAATTGATTTTCAGGAATTCCCCAAGTATCTCAGCTAAGTGTCAATCCATGAAGTAATATGGGACCACATGGGAAGCAACAGCTTTCAAATAAAAAGAGAATCATCAAAATCGGTTCGCCCAGTCGAAAGTTCTGAGGTAACAAACATAAAAAAAAATACAGTCGAATTGAGAAACTCCTCCTTTTTTGAAGTCGGTTAAAAAATAATAATAGAGGATATAGGCACATAAATAAAGGCGACTAAGTAATTATATCCCATAGCTAGACGTTATAGTTCTTGTATTTGGTGTGATATTACGTGGACCTCAATTACTGATAACGAGGCTTTCAATCTCCGTCCTCTGGAAAGTACATCGATTATTCATTGTTGATTTCCGTGCAGCTGTCATGCACATTATTGGTACGTTAGTTTGGTAAATAATGTGCTTAGATAAACTTATACATATTTAGCTTTAGGCTAAATAACTCGTCTGACCTAAATTTCGCTTTCAACCAGTTTCGACTAAAAGTTTACGACATTTCTTAAGCTATTGCATAGCCTTTAGCGGGCTTTGAGCGCGGGGACCGAATCAAGAAATTCCGTAACGAAAATAAAACCTAACACCCCCCACTCCGCCTACCATGTGGCTCGGCCGAGCGTTCGCTCAACGTGTATGTATATGGTACGACTGTACAAAGCTCGCACGGATGGATATTATAATATGATATTATCATATGATGATATGATATTTACAGGATATCAAGTCTCAAAATTATGTTTCTTATTTCAGTTACCATAAACCTATAGTTTCAATGATAAAAAGTCCTGAATAACCTACATGTATTGTAAGATAATAAAAATATTTTAAACGATATTAACTTCTCATTTATTCAATAAAAGAAAAAAAATGTTTTCTTATCGGTCACCACGTTCAAAAAGTATAACTTGAATTAATATCAAAGAAAAAAAAATACTACATAAATAAAAAAAAATAATTATAATTGCATAAGTTGATAAAAATGCTATGCAAATAGCTTTACCGCGGCAGTACCCGAGTGCCAAAGGTTTTTTTTACTTTCACAATGCAAACCACGTGAGGGGAAATATTGCGAGTTTCTTACATGAGGTTTTATATAGTTATCTTCAGTAATGAAAATGAAATGAAAAATGAAAATATGTTTATTGACAAACAGAATTACACTTAAGTACATTATGCGTTGGCACCACACTAGGCAAAGCCTGTCCTGTGGTTGTCGTCTATTGCGATTGCCATCTATTTTACAAATTTTTCAGTGGAAAGATCGCTTCATACTAAAAGTTTAATAAATATTACTAAAACTTTTAATTTTAACAAAATTTTATATTAATTTAATATGACCATAAATAAGAAGTAAATAGATAGAAGTTGCAGCTTATAACAATTATATATATATTAATACATAAATAAGGGTATATATGTGATTATATATAAATACAAAAATAAAATCATCAAAGTATATGGTCAAGTACTTTTTCAGTTGAATCATACGTTAAAGAAGGAAGCCACTTAGAAGTCGCTAGTTTCGCATCATTTACTGAACTACGCTTTATGTCGCAGGACAAGAGTACCTTGTTATACACAAAGTGGTCTTTAGAATGGCTAAACCGTTTAGCAAAATTCTTTCTGATCTTAGGAAGAGGGAGTCTAAAATTGCGTTGGTTAAGTAATCCGTGATATCTACTACAATTGACAACGGTATGATGAACCTTAACAATGGTTTTCAGAATAAATAATTGTCGAACACTCAAAACTTTGCTTTCTTTATAGGTATTAGCCGTCGGATATCTGAAAGGCCTGTTAAGCATCGTTTTTAATCCGGACCTTTGTGCTCTTTCTACAGGTAACATTGAAGTTTTTGATGCACATCCCTCATATGTCACATAATCACATAATGTTTACATATTATGATATTTACTATAAATAATTATATTATTATAATATTTTGTTTCCTATATGTGTCCACAAACCTCAAAACTGAAACTTTCACTCGCATACACATCACCATAGGCAACCATAACCTACAGAAAATGTGTCTTCTAATTTTGTTATATTTTTTTTATTTAACAATTAATTTTAAAGATATCTTTAATTTTTGACATTATTTTTTAATATTTAAATACCAGTGACAAATAGGTGTGAGGAGGGTAACCTGCCAGACAGGTCAACTTAGTACGGATACCAGTCAGTTGCAATGACAATGGAAGATTATAATATAATGTGTTTTTCGATTTATTTTAAACGCTTGTGAAGATATTCCTATATTTTATTCTTATAATAAATAAAACCATTAGGAGCATGAGACATCCTTAAAATTTAATATGCCCGATGTATCTCATTCTCGTATTTCGCCAACTAAAATGTAATTCGCAATGAAAGTAAACTCTTAA